CTCAGCCTGCTTTCTTATATAACACAGGCCCACCTGCCCAGGGGTGGCACCACCCACAGTGGGCTGGGTCCTCCCACATCACTCATCAAGAAGATGCCCCACAGACCTGGCCACTGGCCAGTCCTATGGAGGAAATTCCCCAATTGAGGCTCCCTCAACCCAGGTGTGTCAAGTTGACACTAAAGCTATCCAGCACACCATGTGAACCTTTCTACTTTCATATCACCTATGTTTCACTATCTCCCCTTCCTTAATGTTTCTATTCCTCCTTTTAATGGCCCCTTTCCATTTTCCTGGCCTCTACATGCAGGCTAGCTGGCCACCGGCCAGTCCTATGGAGGAAAATCCCCAATTGAGGCTCCCTCAACACAGGTGTGTCAAGTTGACACTAAAGCTATCCAGCACACCATGTGAACCTTTCTACTTTCATATCACCTATGTTTCACTATCTCCCCTTCCTTAATGTTTCTATTCCTCCTTTTAATGGCCCCTTTCCATTTTCCTGGCCTCTACATGCATGCTAGAGCTCTGTGAAAAGATTAAATTTAAAATGTAAAGGATAGTTTCTACCAAATGGGTGTTGTATTCATACCATCATAAAGCCAAAACATTGTTAAATTATAACATCTTAACTCAAGGACCATTTATATATGAAGTACAGGCTATAATTTATAGGTTACTAGTTAATGTAGATGGTAAAGTATTATACATTTAAAATATTTTTTTAATTTTTATTTTATGTGTATGAGTGTATTGTCTGCATGTGTATAAGTGCATCCATGTTGTGCAATGACCACAGAGGTCAGAAGAGGGTGTGGGATCTCCTGGAACTAACTGGAGTTGTTGTCAGCTGCCATGTGGGTGCTAGGAATCAAAGCTGGGTCCTCTGCAAGAGCAGTGAGCGCTCTTAACCACTGAGCCATCTCTCCAGCCTCAAGTACTATACATTTTTGTTGTTAGATTAATTAGTTAAATATTACATAGATGAGGAGTGGTTGGATGGCTCAGCAGGTAAAAGCAATTGCTACATAAGCCTGATGGCCTGACTTTGATCCACAGAACCCATGGTGGAAGAAGAGGGCAGACTCATGAAAGTTGTCTTCTGACTTCCATGTGTGTGAATCGTGGCACACATGCATGAGTCTCTCCTCTCTCTCTCTCTCTCTCTCTCTCTCTCTCTCATACACTAATAATAAATATTACATAGATGGCATGTTATGGTGAGATAGTGAGAAAATTATAAAACAATATTGGAAAAATTAGCTATTGACTTGGAAAAAATAAATGAGTATTATAGAGAAGGGTCAACTAATAATTCAATTCTATTTAATTTAGACAAAATTTATTTCATATATTTGCTACATTCCACCAGGAAATTTCTTGTTTCAATGTTATAACAATTCAGCAAGTAAAAAAA